ATAAGTTTTTGGACCTCTTCCCTGATGTTGTCTTACCATTACCTTCCAGTATTCATGCTGCAGATGATATCCCTTCATCTTCATCTGTTGTTTTCCATAACATTTCTTCACCGCTTGCTATCTTCCCTACACCTGATGATAATCAAATTATTTCTGGGATTTATCCTTCTTTACCTTAAATAACATCTGATACTCCAACTACTTCTCCTGCATCCAGGCCTTCTACTCAAGATGTTCGGAAAACCCAAAGAGCCTCTAGACCACCAAAATACCTTCTTGATTATCAGTGCAACTTACTCTCTCACTCTGATAATCCTGCCCTTCACTCAAACCATCACATAAGCCATTTCATCACATACCAACATCTGTCTGCACCTTACAGAAACCTTATTCTGAACATTTCTGCTAACTTTGAACCTCAATTTTTTCATCAGGCTATAAAACTTCCACAATGGCGTGATGCCATGGAACTTAATAATACCTGGTCTGTGGTGCCTTTACCTCCTAGAAAACACTCAGTTGGATGTCGATGGATATATAAAAACAAGTACAATTCTGATGGATCGCTTGAAAGGCGTAAGGCTCGCCTTGTTGCAAAAGACTATACCCAAAGGGAAGGCCTGGATTATTTTGATACCTTCTTCCCAATGGCAAAGAATGTGACCATTAAGGTATTGCTTACTCTGGCTGCTCATCAGAATTGGCACCTTTTTCAGTTAGATGTGAATAATGCATTCCAGAATGGCGATCTATTTGAAGAGGTCTACATGGACCTTCCTCTTGGATATGAGACTCTTACATCCTTCAAAAAAGGAGAGAAGATGGTTTGCAGGTTACATAAGTCCATCTACGGGCTCAAACAAGCCTCCCAGAAGTGGAATGAAAAATTCACCACTTCTTTGATTCGGTTTGGTTTCACTCAGTCTAAAGCAGACTATTCCCTCTTCACTAGAGGCCATGGTGTCAACTTTCTGGCGTTGATAGTGTATGTGGACGACATTGTGATCACTGGTCCAAGTATGAACATGATCGATTCTTTGAAAGCTTTCTTACAGTCCCATTTCAAGCTCAAGGATTTAGGACAATTAAAATATTTTTTGTGGATCGAAATTGCGCGTTCAACTTTAGGGATTGTTATATCTCAGAGGCAATACACTTTGCAGTTGCTGGAGGATGCCAGTTATTTGGATTGTAAACCAGCACCTAGCCCTATGGAGACAAAATCAATTCTCAACATCCATGAAGGTGATTTGTTGCCGGATCCTACTGTCTATCGCAGGTTGATTGGAAAGCTCATATATTTGACTTTATCACGGCCAGATATTACTTTTGCAGTACATAAGTTAAGTCAATTTGCTGCACACCCTCGGTTGCCACACTTGAAGGCAATTCATCATCTCTTAAGATATCTAAAAGGGACTCCTGGCCAAGGCATTTTCTTCTCCTCACAGCACTTGTCTAAAACACCTTTAACTGTCTGTGCTTTCTCTGATGCTGATTGGGGGTCGTGTGTTGATATAAGGAAATTAACTACAGGTTTCTGTGTCTTCATTGGCGATTCCATGGTGTCTTGGAAGTCGAAGAGGAGGCAGCAAACCATTTCCCGTTCTTCTGCTGAAGCAGAGTATAGGGCTATTGCTGCCACTGTTAGTGAGATTCTTTGGATTCACCTGTTGCTGACTGATTTTGGTGTTCCTACTGCATCACCCGCTACAATCTATTGCGACAATCAAGCTACAATTCAGATAGCCACCAACCCAGTCTTTCATGAAAGGACAAAACATATCGAAATTGACTGTCATTTCATCCGAGATAAAATCTCTGCTGGCATAGTGAAACTCCTCCCTGTCCGTTCTAAGTATCAGCTTGCAGATGTCTTCACAAAAGCCCTTCTAGCCACTACTTTCAATCCTTTGATGTCCAAGATGTGTGTCAAAAACATTTACGGCACATCTTGAAGGGGCGTATTGGAACTATTTGCTTCATCACGTTATATCCGTGCTCTTTGTAGTGTTAACTTTGGTTGTTAGTTTGTTTCACCAGCTGGACTTTGACAGCTGGACATTAGTTAGTTTTTTGGCGCCTTTTTCTCTTTCTTGTGTTGTATATATATGTGACTTCATGTAACCTTTTTTATTCGAGTAAATGAAGATTTCAAATTCATAATCTTCTTCCTGTAAATCCAATACTTGCAGGGTGTAGGGAATTAACTTAGCATAATATAGGCTTAAAACTGAGGCTGACCGATTTTAACAACTCAATCATGCAATGATAGAGATCAATATTCAATCACAGAACCTCAGTGTTCAATATGCAATCTAAACATTTGAATAAGCATAGCATAAAGAAATCAACAGAATAAAGAAACCATAGACTAGACAGAAAAGGAACCAAGGCAGAAATTTACTTCCCTGTTTCGGTGGTTCATCTTCCCTTCATTTTGGCCGAATGACATAGGCTCGGGAACAGCCTCCCACACCTTGCAAACCGTTGTCTAGAGAGAGCACAAGAACCGGTAAAGAACCCTCCTCACTTGGCTTGGATCATCGACCAAAAGGTCTACCAAAAAAAGCCAAGAATCACCCCTAAATCACCATTAAGCCCTCGAGAAACACCAACACAACCCAACTCTATTTCACGCCTGAGTGTAACACTGGAGACTCACAAGAAGGGGCTCAATATCCAGTGATTACCAAGGGGAAAGGGAAGAAGTAGCCAGCTTCATTGAAAAACAGGGACGAGACCCAAAGACAGAGAGAAGACAAGAAGTGTCTCGAAGCAGGAAGGAGGAAACTTACAGAAGTGAACCCACGTGAATATAAGCCCAACAGTCAAGCCAAGAAAATATCTAGCCAAGATTTAATCACAACCGTCCATTTGATCCAAGGGTCAAAATAAAACCAAACTAACACAATTCGGGTCAATGCCAAAGCTACCAATAGATGAATGACACCTAAGCAGCTAAGGCCCAAATGATAAGTCATATACCAAATGACATAAATAGCACCAGCCCACAAGTGTTAGGAGGACCACAATACTTACATTCTTCACCTTGGTTCTCGTAACACGTACACTCTCTCCGTTGCGAATTTGCACATGGAAGGACTGTTCATCATCATCGCTCACAACCTGCAAGAAAAATTAACCAGTATCAATATGCAGTCTCAGTTATAGCAACATATTCAGCTTACGTACTAGACAGAGTCACCAAAGGTTGCAGTTGAGANTTTACCTGCAAGCTGAATTTTTGTTCCCACATCAGAGGAATTCTTATCAGTATGAATCTTAACAAGTTTGACTTCACCTTGAGACAGTTTCTCAGGAATAAAATGATACTTCACCTCAATATGTTTAGATCCCTCATGATAAACAAGGTTTTTAAAAAATAAGTTTTAAGAAATGAGAACCAAACAGGGATTAGTTTTTGTGGGAAATCTTGATTTTTTTATTTACAACCAGTAGGTTAACAAGGTTTTGTTCAACAAAAAAGTATAAATTGCATACTTAGTCTCCAACGTTTGTCAAAAGCTGCGATCGTGTACCTAACCAAATTTTCGTTGCATTTTTGTTCCAAGCCTTTAATAAATTAGCAGTCAAACCCCCTCATAGTTTCCATCCACTTCAAACGTTGAAGCCAAAAGGGTGAGCTGCATATGCCTTTTCAATGAAGGGCAGAATTGTATAGTCACTTAAACCTATTAGAAAATAAATAATAAAAAATAAAAGAAAACAAACAGTCATCTTCTTAATTCCACCTCAAACTCGTGCCCGCCGTCACTGCCATCGCCAACAATGACACTACCCTCTGGTGCATGCATACATGCATATATTGATGCTGACACTCACTCGTACCCATATACACACAAGCTGTCAAAAATCAGCACATCTTTGCCATAATTTCCCAGAAATTTCCTAAAGCCTAGCAACATATGTTAGCCAATGATATAATTTCTTAATTTTGAAGTATTCCAGCTGCAATCTTGCACCACTTCCTAATGAAGAACCCAAGCCACTGATTTCCTTCTCCTCAAAGAAAGCTTCCCGATAATCTTATTGGCTGGCCATATATAATTCATTGGTTTATGTGTTCACACCCTAGCAAAATGACTGAGAGAATAAATAGAACCTTGATAAACAAAGTAATATGTATGTTATTGAGCTCTGGTCATCCGAAATTGTTTCAGGGAGAAGCAGTTATGACTACAGCGTATTTTGTTAGCAGGAGTCCCTCTAGTGCCATTGACTTTAAAACCTGTGAAGAAAAATGAAAAACTGAATACATAAAATAGTCTCATCACCGAAATATTAAAAACTGAACCTAGATCTCTCAAGTGTGTGTTCTTCGGTTGTAGTGAAGAGATCAAAGGTTATAGGTTATGGTGAAGGCGAGAAAGGGTTCAAAGTAATAATAAGAAGGGACGTGATATTTAGCCCCCATTCGGTAGGAATTAAAGCCCCCGTTTGGCTCCCATTATTTGGCATTTTTTAGGGTTGAAA